CCATGTTGGTGCACAAAATCAATCAAGTTGGAGTTGAACTCTTCTCTTATGTAAACAATTTCTTTCGTTCTAATAAATTTGCATGGCTGCTGCCCACGTGAGTGAGGACTCTCTTTTTATGTTACTTCAGTCTTAAAACATTGAAGAAATACACTATTTACTGATTTGCGTCGGCAGGTAAACGCTCCTGATGTACTTGAAATAGAAACACAAAATTACTTTGATATGGCCGAGGGATGTAACAAGGCCAAGGAAGCTTTTCCAGGCAGCGTCATTGATGTACCCAGCATGGAGATAGTCAAGAACCCTGTGGAAACCCTGAGAAGAATCTGTCAGTTCTTGGAAATCACGTGCACAGAGCAATATCTCCAGGACTGCGCAGCCACCGTGGACCCGGTCCCCTCCATAACACGTAATTTTATGGAATGGACCGCTGAACAAAAGAACACTGTGTACGACATGATGAAAAAGTACCCCTTTTTCGAAGGGTATTCTTTTGATAAGTAATTGCATTTTGTGTTCTGTTTTCAAGTGCCACTAACCCCAAAAACGTTTGTTCGCTAATATAAATTTCATTTTTCTCCTAATCACCACTGCGAAAAAATTATCGTTGTAGCTATTTTCTTTAATTTTTTATGAATTTTCAAAGTTTGTAAAAGTGCCGTTTTCCATGTTCACAACCGAGGAATAGCGGAGAATGGGACGACTTGGCTTCTGACGTCATTTCGGGAATAACAATATTTTGGGTGCTTTCCGTTCGACCAAAAATTCCGGTATGAATTTCCAGAAAGTTTCTAGGGCGAATGGAACAGACTTTTCTGGTAGCTGCACCAGAGTGGAAAGCGCCCTCACACTTTTGTTCGCGTCAAATCTTTCAAAGAGTTCGAGGTTTAAATAGCAAATATAGAAGCATACAGAGCACTGACACGTCGACACAGTGACTTTTTATAAGCCCATGACGGCAGGGACCTTATACAAACCACAACGCAGCGAAAACGTCGCAAAACAAAGGGTAAACTAAACGCATCGCGTTTTTTGTACTTGAAATAAAGACNAAAAAAAAAAAAAAAAACGCACGCCGGAGGTCGTAATCCGGCCGTGTTTCTCATTGGCCATTCCGAATACAGAATTGTTTTGTTCTTCGAGATTCGTCTTTGAGGAACGAAATAGATCTAAATTACAAACTTAGAATGGATCATCCATTTAAAAATACATGAGGAAAGTGAAACGAACGATTCGACTCTATGGCTACCGACGGAGATTGTCGCCCTGAAAGTCAGACAACCGAAATGCAAACTAATAAGTCGAGAACTCCCAGGTTATTAGCGTACGTAAAATGGATATTTCAGTGAAGTAGAAATGTATTTAATTAACTGATACTATAATGAACCTCTTTTCAAGATCTTGTCGAAAGATTTTCCATGATTTACTAGTGTGAAATACGCAAATTTCTGTAGCTTGTGTCTGTACAAAGTAGTTGACTATTTTCAGTCACTGATCTAGAGAAGTAGGCAGGAGTGGACTACGACTGCATCGCATTTTAACTTGTATCTCGGAGGAAATTTTTGAATCTAAAAATGATTTGACCCTCAGAAATCTCTACGTTCCGTAAAGTTAAATTACCAACTCTTCGTGCTCATTGACATCTTTATAACTCTTTAAAAGCTGTAAGTTAACTCTTCAGCCATTATTTGTACCTTTATAACCCAAATAGACCGGCAAATTGTCGATCCTGATCCTGGCCTAAATTACTCGGCGAACCCGCACTTCGAAAAGGAAAAAAAAATTATATATCGCAGCGGTCCAAATTGTAGCTAGACTCCGAATTGTAATACTAGATGATACAGTTCTTTCACTTA